TTTAATGTTCGTTTATACGAAATGTGATCACAGGCTTAAATCGGTTATTCATGCGCTGCCCTGGGCGTTGTTCAAAAATTTACAAGTTCCAAGATCCACAAGCGATTCCCACCAAAAAGTGTCCGGGCCAGTGCGGGCCCACGCAAGCCTATTCATCGCCACGCCAAAAACACGAAAGCAAACCAAGCGAAAACAAATAACACAGAGGAAACCCAATTGGCTTGTACCGTCAGTATGAATCAAATGCGTCACCGCCTAACGAAACAGGTCGAGCCCGTGACTGTGTTTACTCCATTGTACGCTAAATTTACGGCGTGAACGTGTTTCGTAATTAGGTGTCACACTGTTGGAAGGGGTATATTCTTCAAATTGATCGGTTTTTCATGGGTTTGGGTGTGTTTCTCTGATAAGATCTGATGTGAGCGGACAGATTCCTGCTTGTCGTAGTCTATCCAAATAGTGTTGGACAACACACACAATCTGGGAACGGCCAAAGCCTTGGTAGGTGTTTTTGTGTCGAAGAACTGTTTGAAGCGATAATCCCTCCAAAGGACAAAACGGACGCCAGGATCGCCAGCAAGCTTACCAGTAAGCGATGAAACATCGGTTAGCGCAAGTAGGAAAATTACTGGGTGCATAGTTCCAGGACCCAGTTTTGAATCACAAGTATAGCTTGACCATTTTGCAGTTGTTCAAATTCACTAAGCACTGAAATCTCGGTACAAAAATAAGTAGTTGTAGACTGCTCCGAAGGGAATTGTGTAGATTGCTGAAATATTCTCGAAAAATTAGAAGCAATTTTAGGTGCTCTTTTTGGTCGTCGTCTAAATTTTCATATTATATCTTATTTGCATGATTTTTTTGCGAATTTTTTCATATTTCCAGAAATATCTTCAATTTTTATTGCGTGTGAACAAATCGACAACTACTACTACTACGTATTGGTGATTGCGATCTTGGAGTAGTTTGGCGTACGTGAGCCTTTCGATGAATGCTAGTGTTGCTGAGGTAATTTGGAGCAGTTACACCTGCTCGTTCTGTCTATTTTGGGCGGCAGAAGGGGAAGGACGGGGGCGCGAAATCGATTGCTTCTTGGTTAACTAGTTTATTTTTACGACTATGTCTACCATGCCTTCGGCGTTTTCGAGGTAGCGATACTTGGAAGTACGGGTTTTTACCCATGGTGAATGGAAGCAATCCGTCTGTTAGTGGTAAAACTCAGAAATGCTCAGTGCTCTCTGTTCTCCGAGATTTCTCGTCCGTAATTTTTAATTCTGTGCCGTGATGAGCTGCTGCCCAGTTTTGACTGCAGTACATTGATGGCTCAGTGAATTAGAAAGTAACGAAGACAAAGTATAGTTCCCCTTACCTTCAGGAGCAGGGACTGTGTTTGTTGCTGTTTCTTCGCTTTCTTTCGCCTTGCTCGGTTGCCCTTCCTTTAACCGCTTAAAAAATTAACAAATTTTGGGAATTTTGAGATTTTGGGATTAACAAAAGTTGTTTCCCCGTTGATTTCTACCTCCCTCTCCCGCCCAAAAAAAACTTTATGAATTTTGGGACATTGAAATATGCCAACTGTACGGGCCTGGTTCATCCCACATGTAATTTGGTGCTCTTTCAGCTGAAAGAGATTCTGACCGTATGCAATAGGCTGACAGATACATGCTTTCGTGCCTGTGTTCGCGAATTTAATCATCGCCAGTTGATCGAAGCTGAAGCTGTATGCGTCAACAATTGTATGTTTATGTAATACTTTTTATATTTTTGACGACCGAGAGGACTTGGGGTCAACAGAAAACATCTCTTTATTAGTATGAGAGCGAAAATCAAAACAAAACAACAAGAAAAACGAGGCAACCAGGCAGCTCCAAGCTGCTGCCGCACAATTCTTGGACCTAAAAAAACAATTACCATTTCATTTCTAATCATCACATTAAATATCACGGAGAGGGAACTCGAGCCAAGAGACGGGATATTTACATGTCACAGGAAACCGAAGGGCAACTGGACAAGGCGAAGAGGGTTTAGCTTCCATCTTCGTTTCCTTGCTACTCGCTCCTTCTTCCTTTTGCAACATATTGAGAGATTCGTAGAATCCAATAGAGTGAAAAAGAAGCCTCAAGGAGTAGCTTTCGACGAGATGATGCATTCATACAACGAAGATAGCAGATACTAAATTTGAGAAGTTGTCGTAATTGGCGAAATTGTTTACGTATTCCTGGGGAATTATGGTACATAGCGAATGCTCTTCTGGCCAGTATCTTCAAATTGGCGGCTTTTTTTCAAAAAAGTTGCTTGTCGCAAGCTGAATCTCTTTCTAAACCACTTCTTTTCACATTTTGACGCGACATTTTACGCACTGCACCAGGCATAGGCAACCTTTGGCGACACGCAGGCTTGATTTGCATACTTACTTAAGCTCGCGGACCACCTTTTAATAAAACCCAGGTAACGACGCATCAGTCTTGCCAGTGCGACCATGATTTTTCGTGCTAAACAGTCAGATCGTTAACAGTATGAATGGTTGTTGCTTTACAGTTTAACATGTGCGATTCATGTGCCTGTGTTTTGGTCTTTTCTTGCATGCGGGGGAAAAGGGCTGCCCTGGGTGTACGCCGTTGTTTATTTATTTTCATGAGAATGCGGTGGGGGAGGG